AAAACAATTATATTTTTGCCATTGTGCTATAAGGGAAACAAAGATGATACACTAACATTTAATAATGATAGATCAGAAAGTCTGAGAGATAGAGTAAGATGGAAACGTATGTAAATATATAGATACAGCTAGACCGATATATACCTTGTTGACATACACTAAGCACTGAGCTATCTATTGGAAACTAAACAGAAGATATGGTCCTAAGCTCCATAATCATGTGTTAAAATTTAACAAGCATATCAAATATGAATGTTCAATTATTTTGTTTTTTTTTTGCTTTTCCTGTTTATAGAAGAAAAGGATCCCAATTTAGATATAATGTTGAATATCCCTTCAGCACTCACTACAACGGTGATTCCTGTTATAGTAAACATTCCTCAGGGTAAAGTAAAAGGGAAAGCAAAAACCAAGGAAAAACTCAGAGAATCCATTAAGGAGGAAGAGCACCCAAAAGAAGAAGAGAAAAAGGTAAATGAATCTTGGCACAGATTCCCAAATTGTTTCGGCCTCAATGTTAACTTTTTAAAAACCCTTACTTCTGTCAGTGGTGTTATCATCGTGTGTTATGGTTTGCGTAGGAGGTGTCCCCCAAAAGCTCATGTCTGAGACCTTGCAAGAATTTCCAGAAGTAAACTGATTGGATTGAGAGGTGTGACCTAATGCGAGGATTAATCCACCAATATAGATTCACTGAGTAGTAACTGTGGGCAGGTTGTGTGTGCCTGGAGGAGGTGGGCATGGCTCTGGGGTTTATGTTTTGTCTCTGATGAGCAAAGCTGTCTCTACTTCCTGGTTGTCATGTCCTGAACGGCTTTCCTCTGCCATGTTCTTTCACTTATGATGTCCTGCCTCCCCTTGGGCCCAAAGCTGTAGAGTCAGCCATGGACGGACAGAGACCTCTGATACCATGAGCCAAAATAAACTTTTTTCCCTCTCCATTGTGTGTGTCAGGTCTTCTGGTCACAGCAATTAAAAAGATGACTAAAACATAGTATGTATACTTTTTATTGGAGAGACACATTTTTCCTTTTAGTGTTTTTACTTGCTACAAAAGCCATGCGTGTTCATTATAAAAATATAAATGCAAACACCATATTAGCATAATAACTTTAGCACCTAATTATAAAAATTACACTAAAAAATGCAGAAGGTATGCTGGTTCTTGCACATTCCACCTGTCTTAGTCTTTTTGAGCTGCTATTATAAAATACGTTAGACTGAGTTATTTTACAAATAATAGAAATTTATTGCTTGAGATCTAGAGGCTGAGAAATCCAAGACCGAGGTGGGGCAGACTTGATGTCCCATAGATGGCACCTTCTACGTGTCCTCACTTGGCAGAAAGGGTGAGGGGTACTTTGTTCAACCTCTTTTATAAGGACACTAATCCCAGCCATGAAGGCAGAACCCTGATGGCTTTATTTCTCAAAAGGCCTATCTCCATGGTGGGCCTGCACTTTGGGTATTGCATTCCAACATGTAAATTTTGAAGGGACACCAGCATTCAGACCATAGCATTCCCCTCTCACCTTGTACATCCAAGTGGAGGCATTATACAAGGCCTTTATTTAGCCCCATTTCCTCCATGAATCCTGTATTAGCTTTTCATCACTGTCACAGAATATCTGGGGGGGAGGGGATAAACTTAAAGGAGGAAACATTTATTTTGACTCACAGTTTCAAGAGTTTTCAATTGATCATTGCTTTGGATCTGACATGAAGCAGAACATCAGGGGAAAATGACATGGAATAAGAAAGCTTCTCAGCTCATGGCAGCCCTGAAGCAGTGGGGAGTGGGACAGGGACCAGACAAATCCTTCCAGGGTGTACCCTCATTGACCTACTTCCTCCAGCCAGGCCTTACCTCCTACAGTTTTCACCACCTCCCAATAGTCCCTTCAGTTACGAACCTATCAACAGACCAATCAATTGATGATATCAAAGGACTCCTGATCCAATCACTCCTCGAAAACCCCACATCTGAATATCGCTGCCTGGGTACCAAGCCTTGAACACATGAGCTTTTCAGAGACTTTTCAGGTCCAAATCATAACAAATCCTCTCCCAATTATTTTCATTAACTTTAATATCTCCCTTTCCCGAGGAAAGATATGCCAGCCATTTGGTACCATCATATCATTTTCTCACCTGTATGTTTGCCATTCTACAAGAAGAACGTAAACTTCACCTTGGCAATGACTCAGTATCCTTTCAGGATCCATTGCAGGGTCTAGTTCACAAGTTATGTCATAAGCACTCACCAAGACCTTTCTTAATCAAAATAAGTCATAGCTCATTTAGAGAATGACAGGCAATTATTTACATGCAAAATTATTTGCAGGAAGAAGTAGAACCAGAACCTGTTGTACAAGAGACTCCTTATGTTCCCGTCTTCCAAAACCTAAATGTGTCTTGTCCCAGTGGGCTCCTAGTGACCTTCATTGGGCAAGAGACTACAGGTGAGTGCTAGCTGGGGTGGGGCAGGGAGGCAGGGAGCCAGCATCTTATAGAAAACAGATGAGCATTTGAAAGTGTCTATTTTCCTATCACTACCTTTTGTTGCAAATGAAGGATAGATTATTTTTAAATAATGAAAATGATAATGATGATTATTTTCAAACATATACTTTGCCTGAATTCTGAGTATTTGAAATATATATGGAAAAACACAAATATTATGATCTGGGTACTAATAACTCCATTTTACAAAATAAAAGCATTGAGGATTTAGGAGGATCAGTAACTTCCTCAATTTCTAGGTGGCAAAGCCATTGCTCCTAACAGTTCCTAGGTGGCTCTGACTTTCTGCCTCTCCAGAGGGCCATAGGTACAGCACATTGTAGTTCACCAAAACAAAGGACAGTGAGCACAAAGTAGATTGAGATGGGTGCACATTAAATCAATGAAGAAAACCAGGCTTGATTCCCAAGTATCAGAATATAATTTTTATATTCTGTTATTTCTGTTGGTTCTATACATGGCTTCTCACCTATTCGGATGAGCAACTAAGTACAAGTAGGATTTCTTTAATTAACCTGATGGGGTAACACACTGGCAATTGACTTTGAATATAATTTAAATGGAGAACCACTGATGTAGAAGTAGGAGATTCAGCAAAGGCTGCACCAAACTAGGACTTGAGTTCCAAAGCTGGCCCTGGCATGAACTCACTACATGATTATTTAAATCACTTACTGTTTCTGAACCATGTTTCTTCATCTGATAAACGTTAGATTATACCAATGCTTATTTATTTTTTCTCAGCCACACTTTAATTTTAATTCCTTTTGATACAACACATTTGCAAAGTGTATCTATCAAAGGAAAACATCAACTTATTTTTTAAAAATGTAATGTTTTATTTGTTTCACCAACCAAAAATAAATTTAGTTGTATATAGTTAATCTGTCTTAATTTTACTTTTCAATGGGGCTTCTGAGTTATTAAAAGTAGACCATGTAACCCTGATCTATTTCTAAGAATCCCTCGTGGTGCAGATTTTCCAAGATGGGACCCTCTGGGCTCAGTGGTCACTAAGTGTCTTCCACAGTCTGAGATACAATAAGTACACTGGGAGGGTTATCATTCTAAGTTCCAGGGTGTGTTTCTTTGCTTGATCCTATTATAAAATCCCAGCATTATGCCTGTCACATCTGTCTTTTGTATTACTTTTATTATTTACCCTGTTGTGCTCAGCTTCATGTCAAGATAGAGCTTATGGTTATTAACTCTACCTGAAACATGCCATCTTTTAAAAATCTTCCATGTATCATGAACATCCTATTTCAAGTATGAACACATCTATAACATGAATACCAAAGTAGCAATATCTTTAAGGTCAGGCTTGAATATCAGAAGGAAAAGCCTAGGTTTGAGTTCTCTCCTGGGTAATTTTGGAATTCAGTGAGAAATTATTTCCAAAGTCGAATAGGGTGTTGAATGTTAGTAGAGTTTGTTGTTGTTGTTGTTGTTTTGTGGTAGTGGTGGTTGTTTCTACTGTATAAGAAAATTATTCAACTGAGTACAGAGCTGCTCTGGAAGCTGAGGCAGGAGAATCACAAGTTCAAAGTCAGCCTCAGCAACTTAGCAAGGCCCTAAGCAAATTAGCAAGACCCTGTCTCAAAATCAAAAATAAGAAGGAGTAGGAATGTGGCTCAGTGGTTAAACACCCCTGGGTTTAATCCCTCATGCCCCAAAACAAACAAACAAACAAAAAAAAACTTATAACCTCTCCAAGCTCTATTTCTTTACTTGAAAACTCAGAGAAATGAAAGTGTCTAAAAGTTTGTTGAGGTGGACTGAATAAGACACAAATACCAAGCACCTGGCATATATAAATATCAAAACTAATATTTTATATTATCACTAGTACTTCTTCTGTAATTTGAGGGGTGTCACGAAGGGCCCTCATTGTGAAATAATTCCCCACTATACTGATAGAGTTCTTAAAATCTCATCACTACATCTTAACTCCTTTGGTTAAGGCTGCAGTAAACCATATTATAAATTTAAAGGAAATCATTAAATTAGCAAAAGCAGAAAAGGCACTATATGCCAGAATTTCTCCATAATAGCCCCAGGGATTGAATCCAAGGACACTTAACCACCGAGTCACATCCCCCGCCCTTTTTATATTCTATTTTGAGACAGTTCTCACTAAATTGCTAGGACCTTGCTAAGTTGCTGAGGCTGTCTTTGAACTTTGTCCCCGCCTCCAGAGCCAGTGGGGTTAGAGGTGTGCACCACTGTGCCCAGCTAGTACTTTCTTTTTGAAAAAGCATATTAGGTGCTTTCCTCTTTGTTCGCCAACAGCAGAACACTGAGAGGAATCTGGGTCTGGTGAAAGGTGAGGGGATTGTGTTAAATTTGAAAGATAATGGGTGACTTGGGAAGGACATGAGTGAGGGACTTCCCTGGGCTTCTGAGCAACCAGGCAACACCCTGGTAGCAATGTGTACCCACTGTGTGTTTACTCAAAGGAGAAAGAAAAGCACCAAAAGAGAGACAATGAAAACACCCAATATAGCAAAACTCTTCTTCCTTCATAATTTTGCCCTGAGATGTTCTGGGCTTCCTGACAGAGAATGGCTTATTCACAGAGAAGGTACCTATCACGCATTTACAGATGACCTTATTCACTACAATTAAGTGCAACAAGGTCACTGAGGAACCAGTTCTCTGGGCCATCTGTCAGGGAATGGAAACTGCACTGTTATTCAGATGCAGACAAAAGAATGAAAACAGTTCAGTAAGAAAATAACTCCTAGCCTCCCAGCATTGCCCAGTTTGCAGAGTAGCTTTTAATCTTTTACTTTTTCTTTCTTTCTCTCTTTTTTTTTTTAAGATCAGCATGTGGTAGCTGAGGAGCCCACCTGGAACATCATGATCCGTCAGAGTTACCCAGAGAAGTTGAAGCACTCTCAGATCTACAGGACAGTGATGCCACCTGTGGAGCAGGAGGTATCAAGAGTTATCACCAGTCAAGGCACTGTTGTCAAGTATATGTTGGATGGATCCACACAGGTAAAAGAATATATTGTACAAACTATTCTACTGCAAAGTCAAAGACTACAAGTAAGGAAAAGTACTCCAGCAGGGAAGAGAACAAATAGAATAGAATGACACCTTAAAACAAGAAATAAAGAGTAGATTAGTTCAAGGAAGAAAACACCATCTAGACAAAACAGTCGACAAGTACACTTGCCATTTCTGTGCACGATCTAAGATTGCAGACTGAACGTAGTGTGTGCCTCCTCTCCCTCTCAAGTCACCTGAAAGTAATAGAAAAATGCTTTTAGGTAATAAATCCATGAAAGTATTAAACAATAATAAAATGTATCACCATGAGATCAGAATATTTGGAAAATTCCTAGAAAATGCAAGTCAGATCAGATCAGATTGATGGAGAAACAAGAACCAAGTTTAAAGCATGAACGAGAGAAAAACTGTAAAAATCAACATGAGAGTTCGAACATGTATTCTACCTCTGGATTCTGAAAATCAGGGCAGTTCTGCAGGTTACCAGTCAAGGCACTTATTACCATCTGGAGGTTGGGAACATGAGGCTAAGAAGCGGTGATCCCTGTCCCACCCTATCACAGTGATCACAAGGGTGGAGTTCCTAAAAACAAACATTACCCCACCAAGAATTGACAAGTGATTTCCAGTGAGAACTGAGACGGTATATCTAGGAATTATCAACCTGGAGGGAAACCAACCTCATGAAAATAAAGCATAAATTTCAATAATTAATAAAATCACCCAAATATAAGAATAAATACTTAAACAACAAAAATTAATTAACATAGGCAGAGACTTGAGAGAATAATAATTTCTCAACAAAATAGCAACTTAAAAATCCTATGGGGATAAAAAGAGTGCTTATAAATGAAAAATAATTGTGAAAGATCAAGGAGTAAGGGGTGGGTTATGAGGAAGATTGGAAAAAAAGATGTGGAAAAGGGATATATGTAGTAGAATTTCTAGAAGAAAAAAATAGAATAAAGGGGGGAAATAATGAAAAAAAAACAACATTAGAAATTTCCCCAACACTTAAAAAAATACTTCAGTTTACATAGATCCACCAAGTGCCAATCAGGACTGACACTAATCAATCTTTAAAAGATCATAAATATGTCATCATGCAATTTTAAGACTGCACAGAAAGAAAAGCTTTGAAACCTTCTAAAGGGAACCAGTTACCTATAAAAAAAAATAAGAACCTAATACACATTGTCATATTCATTGGGAGGCTATCCATACTGTTACTGATAGAAAGATGTATCTGTAATACCCTAGAAATATCATACATACTAAGTAGATATGAGTAAAAACTACACATGTAAGTACATATATATCTTTAAATATACTCACTGGAAAATTTGAGATGTATAGGGAAAGAGTGAAGAATAGGGCAAAAAACCCTAAATCAACAAAAAATGGAAAGTGAAAAGAAACCAACCAGAAGGTAAATGGAAAATAGAAAATCCTATTATCATGCTGATTATTAAGCTGTTATCTTTGAGCTCCAAATCTACCCTTTTGTAACATTCTTGTGATGCTGAGTCTGGAGGCGTACCATCAGCCTTTCTTCTTTGGATTATTTTGAACCTATTTCAGTTGGACACAGAGTGTTTATTGCTAACTAACCTCTTTTTTGCTTCTGAGAATGCTGAGCACTCTCATTCTCCCTTCAGATCCTCTTTGCAGATGGCACTGTGTGCAGTAGTCCTGATTCAGGTCGTGTTTATTCTTCTCCTGAAATGCCTACCAGCCTTCATAACGGAGAGATGAGGGAATCACCTTCTCAGCAAAAATCAGAAATACCTCCCTTTGAGATTGCCATCACAAAGAAAGGTGACAATAAAAGCCTCTTAATTGATACTGGTTTTAATATAGTCTGAAGATGTTTAATAAGTGTTCAATATCATTAGCATAATAATTCTTACCTTTGCTATGAATATATTCACATATATGCACATACATACAGATAATTTTTATTGTAATAGCAGAATTATATATAGTTTCATGAACTGCTCTTTTCTCTTAATAATAAAAAATGAACTACTTTTTCCTATGCCATTATATACTCATACACAAAATTAGCAATACCACCTGGGCTGCTACTTAGGGTTCATTGAGAAGGTCAGGGGTGTCAAAATTCTGAGCAACACATCTGGTTTGCTCTCGGCCTTTCCTCATCATCACAAGATGGCACAGCAGTTCCAGCATAAAGTCCTCCTATGGCAGCTTCCAGGTAGAAGAGAGAGAAAGAGAATACAGGCACTCCCCTCATAATGTCTCTCTTCATTATAGAGGAAAATATTTCCAGACCACCTGATGCCCAGTAGACCTCCTCTTGCATTTCATTGACTAGACCTGGCTGTGGACCTAGACCCAGAAAAAAAGTGTCTGACATTTTTTGCCCTTGTGTCAGGAGAAGAGCGTGACTAAAATGGGGGAAAAGAAGGTGGATGACTGTTGAGTAAGCAACTGCCATAAGTGAAATCACAAGATAGCTGTCCTGACAAGTATTTCTCATGTATGCGCCTACCACGAGGATAATAGGGAAATATCTACTTCCTCATATCCTTGCAATGATAGATATTATCCTCATTTTAACCTCACTCAACCTTACTAATAATCAATGTATTTAATCATTATGCCAATCTGCACTTATTTGATTACCGGTAAGGTTAAACATTTAGAGATGCTTGTTGGGTTTTCATTTATTTTCTGACTTTTCACAAATATTTAGTATTTTAATTATCTTTTAGGTCTAAGTATTACCTAATTTCTATTATAGCTCTTCCTTTGACTTTTAACTTATTTAAACTTCTTCCAACCTTTCCAAATCTGTTTCTAGTTTGCTTTCATAATTGATTTTATTTTTTTAATTTAGTTATTTATTTTAACTAGGGATATTTGAGAGCAGAATGTATTCTGATTCATTGTACACAATCGCAGCACAACTTTACATTTGTATGGTTGTACACGATGTAGCATCGCACTATATATATATATATATATATATATATATATATATCCTCATATACAGTCAAGGTTTTAAAAAATCCTGTGCTT